TCAGGAGCGATGGAGAAGGTAACGGTTCTGGAAATTTGGACAGCTGATGGGTCTGGAGTGGAGATGGAGGGAACAGCGATGGAGAAACCCTGTGGGCATGGCACAGCCTGCGGTAGCTGTGGTGGGTTGCATCGCCTGCGCATGGCACGGCATTAACATTTGGTGTGGATTTGCCTGGGAGTTAATAGACACTATCCCTGGGTTTTATCCCCTGGTGGGATCCGTACAGTTTTGTGGTCCCACATCTGTGACTGCGGTACGTGTGCGTGGGTGTGGGAGCGAATGCCTGTGACGGTCAGGACAGGCTGCGGTTTTAACCCTGGCATCCCAGGCTTAGTCAGGGTCTGCAAAGGAGCGAGGGTCCTGAGCCCCTGCCGATGCTCACCCCTGTTCGCCTGGGTGCTCCCAGCCCTGTCGTGCTGTGAAGGGTGGGCAGCGAGGGGGCTGAGCCGCCCGGGTGCTTGCATCCCTCCACAGTGTCTCAGGGCGTGGGGTATAGGCAATGAACCATCGTGAGGGTGTTGGAGAAAGGGGGACGCTTGGGCAGCAAGGACCACGTGCTCAAAGGGCTAACGCAGATGCCAGAGCTGCTGAAGGCTCCCGTGCTCCCCTTGCATGCCTGGGCTCCCCTGCCATGACGGGTGTTTTTCAAAAACGATTGATTCTTACATTACAGGTGGGGAAACTGAGGCACAGCAACGAGCCCAGGGGCATGGGGAGGCTAGGGGTGAGCTGCAGCCCCGGGCTCCCAGCTGTGCTGGCCAGTGGGCCCGCTTGGGAGTGACCCAGCCCAAACGTGCAGGTCGAGGCTCCAGCTCCAGCTCCAAAGGGTTAAAGCATCAGCTGTGAGATGCAGCCTGCAGAGGCCCCTGAGCTCCAGAGGAGGAAGATGAGCGTGGCGAGGAGACTGTGCTTCCTCCAGCGCAAGGCTCCCCCACTGAGGAAATTGTCAATTAGCGACATAGTTTTAACCACACAGCGCAGATTCCCATGATCTGGTGGCTGCTCAGCCAGAAGTCCCCATTATTCGTGTTTATGTCCCCTGGGGCCCCAGAAGCCCTGTGAGATCAGGACCCCACCGTGCTGCTGGCAGGACCACAGGGGTTTGCTGCAGCTTCAAGCATTAGCAGCAGCCACGAGGGCTGGGAACCCGATGCCCAGCTCTGTGCCTCAGTTTCTCCGTCTGCAAAGCATGGAAAGGCTGGGGGTGGAGGGGGAGGTTGCTGAGCAGGGGCCGAAGGAGGGCACAGGGAGCTGGACTGGGTTCTGGCAGGACACCGGCACTGCAGCCCTCCCCATCGCTGCCTTTTGGGTGGGCATAGCTGCCTCCCTGCCTCCGCCCTCAGGGCACAGGATCAGGCCCCCAGTTTAATGTTGACCTTTTATGTCCAGAGCTGCTGCAAACCCCCTGCCTTTCCCACATGGGAAAAAGTCATTCCCTGCCCTCAGCAGCTCCGAAGGGATGGAGGGGGTATGGGGCAGGAAAGCACAGACAGACCGCCAGACATGGGCAACTCCCTGGTTGCAACCCCAACAACAGAAATGTGGCTGCTAAAAGATTTGCCTGCTTTTCCTGGTCTGCACAGTGGGGTTGCACCACAGCGGGGCCCACAGCCATGCACTCCCCTTCCCTCTCCCCAGCCACCCTTGTGCACATCATTTTCTGCCTCAGTTTCCCTAGCAAGGTGACGTAGTGGTAAAGCACGGAGGCTGGCCGGGGCAGCTCTCAGCCCCCAACGCATTGCATGATGTGCACATCTACAAGTGTGCTGGGCAGGTCAGCTCACACCGTGACGCACTGGCGGTCGCCCACTGCCCCCTCCCCAGCCTCGACCTCGGGAGCTGCTGAATCATGTCTTGGGAAGCGGCTGCCGCTCGCCCGCGCCGCCCGGGCTCCCAGCGGCCTCCACGCATGACCCACTTCTCCCAGCGGCTGATGCCAGCTGGGAAACGTGGCCGGGAGAGCGGCGGCCACTGGTGCTCCCAACCCCGGCCAGGGCTGCCCCGCTTTCTCCGGGCACACGCTTCCCCGAGGAGCTCAGGTTGAGTTCATCGGAGCTCGCGAGGGGAACGGGGCTCAGGGCAGCAGCACGGAGCTCTATTTGGGGATGGGGTTTGCTGCCGGGGGGACAGCTCAGCCACCGGAGCCGTGGCATGGGGATGTAGGCAGGTGTCCTGCCCCAGCCGGTGCTGCTGGAGAGGATGGTACTCTCCCAAATTACACCGCCATCCCTGGGGACATGAGCTGAAAGTCCAGACCTCACTTTAAGCAACCCAGGGAAGCTCTGGCTGAGGGAGCGGGTGGTGGGTTTAGCTGGGACGTGCCATGGCCAAGCACATAAAGGTTCCCAAGGAGCCAGGGTTCACCCTAGGAGCCAGCTCAGCCCTGCCCTGTTGGCACAGCGGGGGGAAACCCTTCACCACGGTTCCAAACTCTCCCTGGAAAAAAAAAAACAAAACTGGACCAAAAACTTCTACTGGGAAAGTTTGAGTCGGGACCAGAGCTTGGCCACATGGTCCCTGCTGCCACAGCTCACTGCCCCTCATCCCCAGCCCTGCTCCGAGCCCTGTGACTGTACACAGGGACACCAAAAGCAGTGAACTGCTGGGTGAATCCCCCACGGAATTGCCACGAGTCCCTCAGCACCAGCTGCGGGCACCTGGCCACCCTCCCTGTGCTCACGGGCATGGGGGCACCTGGTTGCGCCATGGCGTGACCTGGGTGCCAGGCAAGGAGCTGGCCACGCACGGCTGCTGGCAAAGCCCTGTGCCACAGCTCATGGGATGGGGAAAAGGGGAAATTTGCATCCCTCAGACCTCTGCCATGTGTGGGTTTCAAACCCAGCCCAGGTGGGTTTGGTGTCCCCAGCCGCCGGGTTGTTGCACCTCCAGCC